TCTCAGTATGATTTTCGTCTGCTCAACCGCCGGGACAGATTATATCTTCGTTCAGCGGTATATACCTATACATCAGTACTAAATGTCGAGAAAGGACTTTGACCTTTGGGCAAGTTATACAAACCTGGAGTTTCAGTGATGACTAGTGATCCCGAGCCTTCTGGTCCCTTGGTCCATGTACTGTGCTTCAGCATCCTGCTCTACTTGCTGGTGTTCCTGGGCTCGGTACTGGCCACGTCTGCTGCTTCACCTGTCGAAAATTGTGTTCTCTGCTCTTCAGATTCTCATTTGGGGTGATAGGTCCTTTGTCTCACTGGCATTTTGGGGGGAGAGCACTGTGTACGGGCAAGACATGTCTGTGTCAAGTGAAGTTCATGTTGATGTGGCAGATGTCAGTCCAGCAGACTTGACGAGCTTCCAAGGGAGTGTCCCATGTCATTGTCACTGAAATTGTGGGTCAATCATGCAATGACTTAAACTGTACAAAACCCTTGTCATCAGAAGCTTTCTGGTAATGTCCTTGGAAGTAGCCCATGCTTTGAAATGAGAGGTGAATGGTGCTGTTTCATTTTCCAGGATCGGTTGATACTTAACTGAATATTTTTTCCTTTTTTAAAATCTTGTCTCTGTTACTTGGTTGTATATGTTGCTTGTTCAGAAGCAGTGGAGTCACAAACATTCGGGAAGAAAAAAGAAATCATCTGGTTAACCCTCTGTCACATTCACATGTGAATGGTGTCTCAAAAATTCTTAAGGTTTTCAAAGAGATTTCTCTACTTAGGTTAAGAAACTTGAAACCTCTCCTTATGCATAATCAACTTAAACTTGGGAAGTTCTTCCTCACGTCTGGCTCAAATCTTCGACAATTTGAGTTCTGTGCAAATGGAAAACAGCTGCAGACCTTCCCCGATAACAACCCTTCACGACCTTGCAGACCATGATTAAGTCACTCCTCACCCTCTTTCCTCTGACTAAATAATGCCTTTAAACCATCTACAAAGTTCCCGTTTTCCACTCCTTTAATCATCTGTTGATCTTCCCTAAGCTTTTCTGCATCCTTCTTTCAATGTGGATGCCAAATTGGAACATGGTATTCTACAAAGTCTCACCAATAACCAGGCTCGCTACCTTTCCAGCCTGTCAGATGTCTTTGTCGATCATATGGGAAATCCAGCGATTTTTTTCAACACCCCAAAAGATGAGGGACTAAACAGTTCGTTTTACAATGGACCCAGCCAAGGTTTGTGGTTGCAGCTGCTGGTTTTGGAGACGGGGGCCTTTAGCAACCCTACGCCAGGTCTATTCTAAGAAAACGTTTCAGGCCCGCCACCTTCTGCCTCCCCATCCTGGGTTTGGCAATCAGTCTGTGGTACAGGAATCGTTTCCCAAGCCCTGGTTTCTCTTAGGCAAAACCGTCCTGTACAGGACTTTATTTCTGGTTTCCATGTCTAAGTCACATGTACATGCAAAGAATATGAAATCCCTGGGGGTCTCTCACTTCCTCCTCCCCCTTGCCCCCAGAGAGCTTGCTTTGGAACAGATAGACTCAGGACAAAACGTGTTGCTTTCTGTGTCTAATCTCCTTGAAACCACAGAGGAGGATCTCAGAAGTTGTCCAGGAAGCACAGGAGGGTAAACGGAAATGAAGTGTCTGGTGCCCATTATTGAGAGTGAGAGGCTCAGCACGTGTCGTTGAAATATTCTTGATCGTAAGCCACTGATGGGACCTGTCTCTACCCTCTCCCTCTCTGCTTTCCCTAAAGACTTAAGTTGGATGGGTGGAAGTGTTCCTGGCATGGAGATTTTCAGAATCATGACCGTCAGCTGGGGTAGGCATGCAGGCCTGACTATCTCCACAGACTTCTGTTCAAGCAAAGCCCAGCCCAGGCACTCAGGCACTTCATTCCTTGGTCAGCTCCTTCCGGAAGGTGGCATTCACCATTGGCCAGCCTGTGATCTTGGACACATGTGGGCAGGAGGGCAAGAAAAAGTTTTGACCAGAATGATTATGTGGCGAGACTCCTTTTAAGTAAAGCCTACATTAGCATGACTATTTAGATACTGCAGGCTCTGTATGAACTTTATGTGTGACCAAGAGATTTGCTGGAAAGTGATGGGAAACCCTCATCATCTTTCCCTCTCTCCAGATTTTGGGGCTCGTTAAGCAATGTCTCATGGGTAGTAGTTGTCCTTGTGCTTTTGGGAGAAGTCATGTAAATTTCGTGTTGTAACCAAAATTTGTGGATGCCTGAGACACCGGGTTTGGGGTGATTGGTTACTGGGGTCATTTTGAGTGAATGAAGGAGGTACGCTCAGCTGCATTTCACAGGAAGATGCAGTAGTGAAAAGTGCCAACTCTTTGAGCTTGTATATGTGTAGGTTCCAGAAAGGCACATTTCCATGGGTCATACCCGCTCTTCACTGAAAGTGAGATGGATTATCTCAGTTCCATTCTGATTAGTCACCAGGATGTTTATACACAGTTAAAAGACATTTAGTAGGCCACCTAACTTTTTTTTTTCCTTCTTTAATGAGATTCAGAATTCCAGTGGGGTGAATTAGACCTTATCAAATTTATCATGACCCTGCACACCTGCCCCACAGGGCTCGGGGCCTGTGGGGAACAGCTAATGCTGCCCGTAACTTCTCCCTTTCGTCTTGTGTCCAGTCTAACAGGCAACCCGCCAAGTTGAACCTTCTCACCTGTCAGGTGAAACCGAAAGCCGAGGACAAGAAGTCTTTTGACCTGATATCACGTGAGTCCGTCTTCTCCCGAGTCAGTTATTGTGCATTCTGCCACCAGCCTATTCCCGTTCTCTGGGTTGGAAACCGCAGCTTTCCCAAGCAGGGCTCCTTGCTGTATGTACTGCACACGCAGCTCTGAGAAGAGCCCTGGGCCTCTCTGCACGGAGCCCACCTGCAGGTGGGAAGGCATAACCGTGTCAGATCTGACTGCAGTGGAGTAGAATCTAGATTTGTGCAGTAAACCAGACCAGTTCTTGGCCACAAGTACACAGCTTTATCCCCCTGGAAGGATTTTTGTAAGCACACTCCCATTTCTCTCCTACATCTGCTGAATCAGTCTTTGGTTGTGAGGCGCAGACATAGGTGTTTTTTAAGAAGTCCTTGGGTGATTCTAATGTGTAGCTGTGGTTGAGATGCGCAGACATAGACTTGACAACACAGGTGGGCCACTGTGTCTGTCCAGCTGATTTGCCCAGCTGCAGCATCAGGCCCTGAAAGGAAAAACCATTTCCCTGCTTCCAAGCAGAACTGCCTTCTGACTTCATGAATCAATGACACTGTGCTCTGTCACTGTCCTATTCCACGGGTCAGAGTGTGTTTTTCTCTTGTGATGAGGCTGCACAGTGACCCACCCACCCCCCCAACTGATGGCCTGTATTCTCACAGTCTTCAGAGTGAGGGGAGGTGGTTTTCCTCCAGTCTGGCTCCCTGTGCTTTCACTGGTCCCATGGGTGTTCACGGTAGCTGAGGGGACATCTCTTTGTAAAGCAAGAGGATGGCAGTGCCGATGAAGTGACTCACAAATATTCTGAAATCCTCCAGCCCTGACCTTCAGTGTTCATCCTTCTCTATAGAGCCCCACAGGACAGGCCAACCAACAGCCTATGATCTATGTGCGTAGAGCACAAAATTACTTTCCTGTCCCTTGAAATCCTTCTGATGTAGTCCTGAGAATGGAACAAACAGTCCCAGCCCAAAAGATGGACTCAGTTGTGAGACTCTGGGTAGAGTCTAAGCTGGATTCTACAGCACTTACCGAAGTTCAGATTCCCCATGATTTTTATGACCGTGAGACTTCTTGGGTTACTGATGAGAAAGAAATACGAAAAGTTGGAATTACACTGTAACTTCAGAAGTTAAGAACCCCTCGATTTGAGAATCCATAGGTTATTAATAATAATTATTGAATGTCTAATATGTGGCAGGTGCTTTATAAACATGGGCAAACCTCTCAAAAGCCCTGTCAGTTTCCTGTTTCACAGAAGAAAAACCTGAGACTCAGAGAGGTTCAGCAACTTACACAAGGTCTCACAGTGGTAAAGCAGGGATTCAGCCAAGGCGCTTGGGCTCTAGTACCTGTGGCCAGTTCCTCTCTCTCAGGGAGATGGGGAGGGGGGCCTACCCTGGAGCCAGTCACATAGTGAGTGACTGGCTAGTAAGTAAAGGTGGTAAGTCAGTGGTAGTTCGACCTCAGTGTGTAGAAACATTCTAGCAGATCCCACATTTTAAGGAAGAGCTTCCCTCATATACACCTGCCCAAACTATCCAAGTTAAGCTGCCCTCTCCTTACCTGAGTCGCAGCTCGAGGATGATCCTCCAGCAAGGCTCGAGCCCTTCGTCCCTGAAGCCTGATTCAACCAGAGAGGAGCCTGGGGCAGGATGTGCCTGCTTGTCAGGGCTGCCCTGTGAGTTACTTATCGTTTCTGGAAAGGAATTTTTAAAAAAGGAAAGCCAGTGAAAGGCAAACTGAAAAGGAAAAGTAGAATACTGAGTTCGCAGGTAGCACTCTCCGATTTGTCACCGAGATCCACTTGACCAGGTAGGGACCCATCCCCCTTCCCACTTGTTTTTCAAAAGAAGTGCTAGGCATTCACGTGGTGTTCGCAGTTATTTTGTTGTTTTCTTGTTGCCCTTCAGAAGAATTATATTGACAAAGTGAATCGTGTAACTGCTAAAACAAAATGTTGCAAAAATAAAATTATATTAAAATCCTGCTTTTAATGTGTTCCCCACCCTCCAGGAACTTTCAAAATTTGCATTAATACCTAAGGTATTCTGCTTTCTAAGGTTTTGCTTTTTTCTCTTTTTTTTGTATTTTAGATAATAGGACGTATCACTTTCAGGCAGAAGATGAGCAGGATTATGTAGCGTAAGTAGTTCTGAAATAATGGCACGATGCCTAACATTGAAAAAGCATCTCTGTCCTGTACAGTATACCTTTAAGTTTTCTTTTTTTTTTTTTTTTACTGAGAATCCTGGTGGTTATTTCTCACCTCTGGGCCTTCACATGTGTCTCTCCTCTCTGTCTAGGGTGCTCAGTAAACTCAGGTGCCCCCTGCAAGGTTCTGCTCAAGCCACACCGCCCTGGGGGTTTTGCTCCCTCCCTCCTGCCCCACACCCACTTCACAACCCTTTGGATCCCCTGGCTTAGCCCAAGCCCTCTGGAGACCTAGAGCTTCTTTTTTTATATCTTTTTTTTTTTTGCGGTACACGGGCCTCTCACTGCTGTGGCCTCTCCCGCTGCGGAGCACAGGCTCCGGACGCGCAGGCTCAGCGGCCACGGCTCACGGGCCCAGCCGCTCCGCAGCAGGTGGGATCTTCCCGGACCGGGGCACGAACCTGTGTCCCCTGCATCGGCAGGCGGACTCTCAACCACTGCGCCACCAGGGAAGCCCACCTAGAGCTTCTTGAGGACAAGGACTGTGCCTTCTTCATTTCTAATCCCATCATCTGCACTTGGGAGGGGTTTATTCAGTGTTCAAGTAATTCATACCTTTTGCCTTCTCTCTGGGTGCTGGTGGTAGTGATGGGGGTGGGGGGGGGGACTTGGTTTTGATGAAGACGTCCTGGCATCCTGCACGGAAAGATGCTTATTTTTCTCCAAGTTACACAGAGGAATTTTCACTGCCTCATTGAGTTGTTTTCTCATGTGAAAGTGTCCAGTGAATTGAACAGAGAAATCCTTTCTCATCTCACTGTGGAAGGAGGCAGGTACAACAGAAGAGCAGCTGCATGTTTAAAGGCAGGCAGACTTGACTCTAGTCCAGGATCTGCCCGGTAGTGACTTTGCGGCCTTGGAAAGATTGTCCCATCTCGGCCTTCTTGTCAGTAAGATGCGTTCTAGCCCTCGCTTGCAGGATTTTGAGACTTGAGGTAAAATGTGTAAAGCTTCTCATACAGTGCCAGTTTTGTTTTTTTTTTACTCCTGTAAACTCAAAGTGACTTTTAAAGTATTAAAACACCGTTATGCACTATTTTGTTTCTTAATACTTTTTTTGTATGCCTGTTACTTTAAAATAATTTTAAAGTCTTTTGAAGAATTGTCAGAAATAGTTGCTTTGATTCTTGACCCTTTTGAAATGTAGCCATTTCACCAAATTTGAATTATTCCTCCAGAAAACGAATTGTCCTTTAAATATGTATTTTCAGATTATCATGGCAAACGTTTTTAATTTCTTTGTCAGGAGTTTTCAAATAAAGAGGCAAATGTGGCATAAGAGAAGGAACTCTGAAAAAAGGGTGTTAACAGAACTGTTTCCTTTTCCCAGTCTGACACCAGTCCCGCTCTAGGGCCTTGGGCAAGTCACTGAATCTCTCTAGGCTTCTGTTTCTTTAAAGCATTGTAAACCCTAACTCAGAGGCTTGTTGGAGGATTATATTTCAGAAATTATAAGTATGTGGCACATAGTAGATACTGGTAATATCAGATAGCCAAAATCTCAGAATGCCTAAGGAAAGCAAAATAGAGGCTTCTGCAGTCAAGTGAAAACTACAGCATCATCAGTGCTGCTGCTGTTAAATGCACAGTGTGATCTGCCCTGTGGAATCCAGATTCTTGACTTGTTTTTAAGAGAACAATTTCTAGTTTATAACTTGAGACTAGTGCTAGAAAAAATATTATTTAACTTAAAAGGTATTAAATGCCCACCCCATCCCCTCCATTCCTGAACAGTTGTTGGGTTTTCTGCTTCATAGCAGAAAAGCTAAGCTGTGCCATCCTTTTTCTCACAACAGTGAGGGTGAGCGCCACCTAGAGTCAAAGGTATGACTTTGCAGTTCACCTATTCCAGGTATTAATACTTTGCTTTGGTTTTTAATCCTCATTGCTGTCTCTATTACTTATTCAAATGAAATGAAAAACATTTCTAAACCACCGTTTGCTCTCATTGTTTTTGTTGATTTTCTTCTAAAAAGGTTAATTTGGCTTTTGTTCCTCATTCATGAGAGTAATACAACTCATTATAGATTCAAACAATTACAGAAAAATAGAGTCAAGCGTTCCATCTATCTGTTTTTTTCTACAAAAAATCACTCAGAGACAACCAGTATTTTGGTGAGCTGCTTTCTATCCCTTTTTTTCCCCAAACAAAATACATAATTCACAAATACGTTTAAATTTGAGATTATGTCATATGACAGTTTTTTTCCTTTTTATTTCACAAAACATTATATTGTGATCATTTCCCCAAAGTCATCCAAAAATTAGTTGGAAACTTAAATTTCAATACCTGGTTAACTAGTCCACTTTGTGGTTATTTCAGGCTCTGTTAATCAACCCCTGTTATTGGGTATTTAGGTTGTATTACGCATAGATTAGTAGCAAAGGGTTATTTTGTTGGGTACATATTGTGGTCATGCTGTACATATATTTTAATAGCCTGCACTTTTCATTTCATAAAATAAACATCATGTGTTTCCATTGTTAATGTACCTTTTTCATAAGCATGAATCTTCATGGAAAATGAAATACGCCTTCACTTTCACTTTTAAGTGCCCCCCGCTGACATGGACTCCCAGGAAACAATGCCTTTTGCTAAACTCCCTTTCCTGCCTCCTATTCCTTTCTCACCTGTTCTTTCTCATCCTTGCACTAGGCTGGTCCCACTCTGAGTCCTCTTCGTTCTGACGTTCCCTTTGTATTCTGTCTCCGTGGAAACGCAGGCGCCTGTGTATTCACGCAAGCCCTTGGTCATTGAGACTCACCCTTCTCATCTGTTCCTCTCATCTCGCTAGCTCTCTCCTGTGTGTTGTTTTCCATTCTTTGTATTGCTACGGGGAGGTCTCTTTTGCCAGTTCTGCGTGAAAACAGATTCCTTTGCAGGGAAAGGAGAATGCAATGGCCAAGCAGGCTTTTATGTCTCCTCCTCCTGTTTCTGACAACAGGTGGATATCAGTGCTGACAAACAGCAAAGAAGAGGCCCTCACCATGGCCTTCCGTGGAGAGCAGAGCGCGGGGGAGAACAGCCTGGAGGACCTGACGAAAGCCATCATTGAGGACGTCCAGCGGCTCCCAGGCAATGATGTCTGCTGCGACTGTGGCTCGTCAGGTATCTGCCCCCAGACTTGAGCCGCTTGTTAAACATCCCTTCTCTTCCTGTAGAATATAAATGAGCAGGTTATTTAAATGCCTTAATCTCCTTGTGGACACACACATGTACGCCCTAGAGGTAGGTGAATTGTCCTACCTCTGAGTGCTTTCACCCCTGCCGTTTGCTCTACCTGGGAAGCTCTCACCTGCTCTCCCTCAATGGCACCTGCCAAAATGCCACCTTTCCCATAAGGTCCAGTTAAATGGACAGTGAGGGGAGAGCACTGGACACGGAGTCCATCATCCTGGTTTGGAGTCACCCGCCCGCTTCTCAGAGCCTGGACGACCTCATACTAAGTCCCTTTACTATTCTGATCTTCAGTTTCCTCATCCTGAAAGTGGGATAACAAACCTCAGCTGTAATGAGGGCGTAGTGAAATGGCGTATATGACATTGGCTGGCACACGGTACCTTTCCTTCCGTTCAGTAAAACCTCCCCAACCTCTGTATCACACTGATGTTCCCTTGCTCCAAATTTCTGTTCTCAAATGGCATCTGTGTTACTTAGGTATTGACAGTAGCTAACATTTATCGAATGCTTACGTTATAATAAGGATTGTGATATTTGTTTTGCTGGTCTTTACGTACTGAATCCTCATAGAATCTCTCTGAGCAAGATAAGTAAAATTATCCGCATTTCACAGACGAGAAAACTGGGGGAATCAGAGAAGTTGATTGACTTGCCTGAGGTCACACATCTAGTAGGGGTCAGAATGTCGTGCAAACCTATCCTTAAGCGTTATGATCTCCTATTTAATTGTTTTACTAGTGCAGATGGGCTCCTGTATACAACAGGCCATAAGCACCTCAGAGGCAAGTCTCACATCTTCTGCTTTTGTGTACGTGTGTGATAGTGACTGACACAGTGTCAGGGTATGGCAGAGGAGGCTCTGCTCTGGGGCCCTTGGGGGTTGTAGAAAAAGCTATCTTATTACCAAGAGGTGCTTGTGCAGAAGCCGTAACCAGGATGACAGGTTAAGTTGGGTTGTAGCGTGGAGGTTAACGATGGCTGTAGAACCCAGTCCCTTGTGAGCTGTACTTAGAAGGCCTTTAATCTATCACTGTCAGGATGTTTCCTCGGCCTCCTGGGCAAAGTCTTTCTCACATTTTCACAAAAATAAAGCACTGAATTTTACTTTTAATTCAGTATTGAAGGGATAGTTTTAAAATTTGTCTTAAAATTTGCTAACAAGCTATTAGTTTTTATAATAGCCCCTAGGCTAAACTGCAAGCATCCATTTCTTCCATTTAAATTTTTCCCTTATAGTTTTTAACAAATTTTACTACTGTTTTAGCTTCCTCTGTAGTTGGCACAGTAAAAGTTAGCTATCTTGTCTTCAAAATCCTTTCCACAGAACCCACCTGGCTTTCAACCAACTTGGGGATTTTGACCTGTATAGAATGTTCCGGCATCCATAGGGAAATGGGGGTTCATATTTCTCGCATTCAGTCTTTGGAACTAGACAAATTAGGAACTTCTGAACTCTTGGTAAGTAGTGACCTGTCATGAATATATTTAGTATATTGCTTTGGGGGGGTTTGTTTCTGCTGAGTACAAAGCATTCTAGTTCCTGAATTTAGTGAATTTAAATAGGTATTTAAAATGTAAATTTTGTGGTATGTAACACTGACTGTTTCTACTTCCTGATTGAAGAACTGGCGAATCATACATTTCTATAATTAGCTCCACTAAATGGCTCTTTTCTTCTAGGATAGGCTTTTTCAAAGCTGCTTTTTTTCTTTTGGAATAGTTTTTATATGATTCACTGTCGTAGCAGTAAAGGGAGTTAGATGTTGAACTCACATGTTCACTTTATCTAGTGGCTTATGTTCTTAAAGATAATGACCAAAGAGTTTTTCTCTATTTTTACTGTTGGTAAGTTTGTAAAAGTACACATGAATTGAGAGTGGCCTGTTAGCTCCTGTCATAAACCAACCACTCCTTAACCCATAACTTCTTTAGGTAGTCAGGGGAAAAATTGTATGCCATGATGGTGTATAGCGTTATAATATGGAAAGGGGACCCTCATCAGGTCCAAGTTAAACTGGTCCCACAGTTCACCAAATGAAGGAAGGAAAGGCCTACTTATGGCATCTCCTATAATACCTTGTGGCCATCAGTCCTGTCTTGCATAACTGGAACCCTGGTGCCTGTGAGAGAGTCCTTCTACTAAGGGTGAAAGGGTTTGAAGTAAAGTAGGGCTTCTCCTCACACAGGAGGCTCTTGATCAGGACCTGAGTGTGCCTGGGGCTCAACAAATCTGAAAGCCTAGCTTATCACTAGCCTTGCCGGGAGCAGAGTACCCCAGAGTCAGGGCAGGTAGTCACCCAGCCAGCAGCCTTTGTCATCTGAGCACCCATCAAGCAATGGTGGTCTGTCTTGTGTTGCATGAGCCCCTTGATTTAGGAAAAGTATCCTTCTGATACACGGCTCCCTATTCACTTCAGGGTCACAGAGAAAAGGCTCAGACCTAATACCTGAAACGTTCTTCTTTAGTATGAAAATGGTGTCAGTCCATCGTCAACACTTAACTATGTGATAAATCCAAGAGACCTGATCACATGAGTGTTTCATGAACTTCACATCAATCCCCAAATTATCTCAGTGACCACAAGCCTTTCAGGACAAATTTTCTTGGAAGGGTCTCGAACCCAGAAGCAAAATGGTTCCTGGGGCCTCTTCATTAATTGCCTACAGCATCTTAATTGGTACCCCAAATATAAAGGAATCCTACATTCTTTTCTATTCAATAACAGTAAATCTGCTTTATCTAGAAATGAGTTGTGATGGTAATTGAAAAGCTATTGCTGTCCATTAAGCATTTAACTTAGATTCATATTTGGAATCTGCTCTGTCTAATCTCATATAGTGTGTGTGTGTGTGTGTGTAGGACCACATCCTATTCTAGTCTAACATTTATCACATTATGTTTGTGAAAATTATTAGTTTTCTTATCCACGTTTCCACTAGTCCATTAGCTCCTATAGCAGGGAACATGGTTTACCCATCTCTGTATTTCCAGCACTCAGAAGTTCAGTGCCTGGCACAGAGTACGTGCTCCATAAGTTAGTTATCTGTTGACCAGATGGATAGACAGTTTGTATTTTGAGTCAAATGAGGGAAAATACGTATTCAGAAATCTCAGAAGCAAATAATAGGAAAGTTTTAAACTAGTAGTAAGGAGTTTGCTATATTGTGTTTTGTTTATGTTACAGCTGGCCAAGAATGTAGGAAACAATAGTTTTAATGATATTATGGAAGCAAATTTACCCAGCCCCTCACCAAAACCCACCCCTTCAAGTGATATGTAAGTACTTCTAATACAATGAATTCTTTATTGTTCTATAATTGTTCTTCTACTCTCCCCAGAACTTCTCAGTGGTTGTAGTATTTTTTTTCCCCAGAGGAAATTTCATTATGAGAAAAAAGCAGAGAAAAGTAAAGTGTTTGAGACATATTTCTGGAATGACCCGATTATTTTCATCATCACCTTTCCCTAGGTAGTTGCAGCTGCTCTGTGGAGGATAAATCTTCATAAGGACAATTATCTCTTAATCCTCACATGTTGTGATAAATAAGAGACATACAAAAGCAACGGGAGATTCCTATCAGATGGGCAAAAAGCCAAACGCTTAACAGCCCGCTCAGCCAGACTGTGGGGAAACAGACATCTCCTCTCCTGTGTTGTTGGTGGGAGTACAAATGGTACACTATCCATAAGGGACAAATTAGCCATTTTCATCACGATTATAGATTTATTTATTACCCTGACTCAGCAACGGCACTTCTGGGAAGTTCTTCCTGTTCTGTAATGGAAAAGGATTAGGAACAAAGCAAGTGTCTACCTGTAGATACAGGATGAACTATTCTGTGGTATGACCACACAGCGGAACCCCTTGCAGATGTAAAAAAGGAACAGGAAGCTTCTTCTGTCCTGAGTTGGGATGATCTCCAGGATGACTGTCAAGTGAAAACATCAGGTGCAGTGAGTGCAGTGTTCACGGCACGCTGCCTTTGGGGCAGGGAAGGGTGGAGGGCGTGGGAACAAGTGCACAGAGGCCCCCGCACCCCCGACCCAGGCGGCCTCTGTCCAAACTCAGGAGCCAGATTTTGGGTACTTCTACTGATGAATCCCTCACTGTGAACTCTCGCTACTCATCATCTGGACTCAGACACCAAATAGGTTTGGACAGTGAAGGACACACATAAACATATATATTTATTTAAACTTGGGTTTGCTTGAAGATACCCAGGAAACTAATAAAAGCGCTTCCTCCGGGGTGGGCGTAGGACCCCCTCAGTAGACACTTTCTGATATCATTTTTATTGTTGAGTCATGTGAATCTTTAAGCATATTCAAAAAGGTTTACATTGAATTTACACTTTAAAATTTTAAATCCTGTGGATAAATAGGAGAAAAGAGATTTAATTCCGACTCGAGTGATCAGGGAAGGCTTTGTGAAGTAGGTGCCAGCCCCTCCTGGGTGGCTGTTGTTCAGGCATCAAATTTGCAAAGCACTTTATGGGGCACATTCAAGGAACCTGTTTTCTTCATCCTGAAATCACAAAATTCGATCTCCCAGAGGCCTCTTGGTATTTGTCTTTTCTTGAATTAGACAAATGCATATTGTACGTTTAGTCTGTGCCTCATATTATGTCAGATGCTGGGGAAACGTCAAAACACAAACTAGATATAAACCCTGTCTTCGTGACGCCTATAGCCCAGAGGGGAAGCTAGATGTTAACCAATAAATTAAACAGTGAATCATTTAGTCGTGGTCGTGGTAAGTGTCACAGAAGAAAAGTTAGGGATGTTGGGGGCCTATATTGAATATAATATCCTAAGCTACTCTGGGGGAGCGTCTGGCTTAACAGCAACCTTCAAGCATCGTCCTAGCACAAACACTGCTTGGATGTCTTTTTCACAATAATGAGCTCAAATTACACTGAGAACTAGGACTTTCTGAAGCTAGTTTGATCATAAAACAACTGCAAACAAATGCGATCCATGGGTTACTTCACAAATGTGGTAACAGTGAGTGCTCAAGCACACACACGGCCCAGTCTTGCCCACACCAGTGTTTTTGAAGTGTTTACATGACCCAGACCTCGAAGGCATTTCTTTAGGATAAATCTCGTAACAGCATGGGTTTTTGTTTCCTGCTTTTCACGTGGGAGACAGCGTCAGCGCTGCGCCCCGTCAGCTCTGTGGCCTCCGTCAGGCCTTCCCCTTCAAAGAGCTCATGATTCTCCAAATCTCTAACGTAGCTGCTGTTGCCAGACTCCGGGAGCTCAGATCCACTTCCTAAACTGTGATCTTGGGCAAGTAGCTTTGACTCTCTGAGCCTCAGTTTCCTCACCTGCAAAGTGTGTCAACCCCCTAGGGCGTGGGGAGGACTAATGAGAAGAGCTTCGAGCAGCTGTGGGCATGTAGTGAGTATTTACTGCTGCTGTCATCATCATTGTTGTTATTCTCTCATTTGGGCACAACCGAGAGGAATGGAGTGAATCTCCTGTAACATGATTAAATCACTCACATATTTAATTAAGCAACTTCTGTGTTCCAGGCACACTTTTAAGTGCTGAAGATGCAGTCAGTAGTGAACAAGGCAGCTCCTGTCCTGCTTACATTCTGACTGGGGTGAGGAAAACACAGGGAATGAGAAAGTAAATAACCTAAGTTCACATGGTAGTTGGTGTCAGCATGAAAACATAACAGGGTGAGGGGTTGACGTGTAGGGGGTCAGGGAGCATCTGAGGACCCGACATTTGAGTTGAGAGCTAGAGGGTATGACGGACAGGTGTGAGCGAGCAGGCCAGGCAGGTGGACAGTAAGTGTTGCTGCCCTGAAGGAGGACAGGCTTGGCGTGTTTATGTGACAACAAGAAGGCAGGTGAGGCTGCAGGGAACTGAGCCAGGAGAGTGCTGGGAGATGCCACAGAGATGGGGCCAGACACGTTGGGCTCTGCAGGTCGTGGAATGGTTTTGGATATTCTAAGTGTGATCAGAAGTTGTCAAACAAAGGGAGTGACATGATAAGTTATGCTTTAAATGGATCCTTGTGGCTCAGTGATGCTCGACTGGGGCAGTTTTGTCCCCAGAGGACACTTGGCAGTGTCTGGACACATTACATCGTGACTTGGGCAGGTACTGCTGGCATCCAGAGGATAGAAGCCAGGGATGCTGCCGAGCATCCTACAATGCATGGGATTGCCATCCATAACAAAGGATTATCCAGGCAAAATGTCAGTAGGATGGAGGTTGAGAAACCCAGCTGTGGCTGATGAGTGAAGGACAGACTATAGGGGGTGGTGGGGACAGACTGAAGAGAAATTTATACCAGATCCACTGAGAAGTAAAGATAAATTGGACTAAGGTGGTAGCGGCGGAGGTGGTGGAAAGTAGTTCAATTCAGTTCTCAATGTATTTTGAAGGGAGAGCCACCGGGATTTGCTCATCAGTTTAAATATGGGGTGTTTAAGGGAATTGTTCAGTTGACGCCCACGGTTTTTGGCCTGAGCATCTAGGTGAATGGCTAGTACCGTTATCTGAGCCAGGGTAGGTATGAAGGACCGGGTTTGGTGGGGGACAGAAGGAGAAAGTTGTCTTTCATCTAGAACTCTTGGCATCCAGACTTTCAGACAAGTCTGTTTTCCACCCTCCCTAGTGCCCTAGTGCCCCATGCCAGAAAGCCTTTCATTGCTGGGGGACTAAATGTGACCAGATAGAGATAACTCTGAGTACCCGGAAAGGGTTAAACACATCCTGCCTAGTGAGAGCTCAGACACTTCCTGTAGCCACAGAATTGCAGAGCCAGGGGTTGGAGGTGGTCTTCTAGGTGACCTGGGGCAAATACCTCAGTGCCCTCTGCATCTTTTCTGCTGGATTATCAGGTAGCTGGAAGCGTGATGCTTCCAGCCACAGGAGCCCACCTGCAGAGCTCGCTGCAGTTTAGGTCTCCCTCCCTGCCATGGATCCTAGCCCTACCCGCCTTGGATAAGTGTAGAAAGGAAGCTTAGAAGTGAACCCATGGCTGTGCATCATTCTTTGTTCCATACCTGGAAGGTAGTAAGTAAGGCAGGTATGATTGCTAATACTTCACAGGTGAGGAAACTGAGGTGGAGGGAGAACTTGATTTACCCAGGGTCACGGAGGTAGCAAGTGGTATCAGACTTGCATTAAGCCATCTAGTTCTTAAGTCTGGTGTTCCATCCACCACACAGTAGCTGCCTTTCAAACGTGATGTAAGTCACACACAGCAAGTCTCAGAAGCCAGGCTTAGGCCGTCCTTTCAGGTATCTGGAAGTCTTCCAATTCATCAGGTTATGGCCATTCTAGGAGGACTCTGACCTAAGCGTAAAGGACACTCTTGAGTGTACGATCTTGGTTCCCGAGCAGAATCTGCAACTCACCAAAGGCTCTGTGCCACCGTGAACCAGCCCAACTCTTTGCTGCCAACCCAGAATGAAAGAAAAAAGCATCAGTGCTATTTTAAACAGTGTTTCCAGGCTGTGGGATGTGGGAAACAGAAACAGCTACCACACATGGAGTGACTATTTCTGAGCAAGAAATTTTGTGTCGCATGAATTAGAGCCCTCTTGGAAAGAGGAAAGCGCCTATTAGCTGCTGTATGTTCTTTAATTCAAAATATACCAATGAGTTATGGTCCGCATTTTCAAATGAAAAAAAAAATACTGAAGGTCATAAAGATTAAGTAGTTTTCCTAACGTTGCACAGCTGGTTTGCTTTAGGACTAGGATTTGAACCCAAAATCCATTCATTGTCTTTTTATTAATTGGCTCATGTAACAGGTGAGTTCAGGTACAGCTGGACCCAGGATGTCAGACAGTATCATCTGGACCTTAGCTCACTCTCCTGACTCTTGTCTCTCCTTTCCTCTGAGCCAGCGTCCATTTCAGCCTTTCCCCAAAGTTGACCATCAGGCCACTGAGGTCATAGACTCACCCCTGCAGCTGGGAGGTGGTGTCAGAACCACTTGAACTGAAGTGGAGAGGGGGTAGGTCCTGAAGAGAAGGAGAAATGCACCAGGCCCACTTGGGCTTTGGGCATGTCATCCACGGCAGGAAAGACCACCATCTGTGTCCTTCTGGAGCTTCAACGACAGCTGTGCTGAGCCTCACTTTCCTGTCAGTGTCTTCATTCTGTCTTTGCTAGAATAAACTTGGTCTAAACCTGTTTGCTGGAACGTTGAAGGGAAGTGTATCTTAATTAAAATAACTCTTCTCAGGACTTCCCTGGTGGTGCAGTGGTTAAGAATCCGCCTGCCAGTGCAGGGGACACAGGTTCGAGTCCTGGTCCGGGAAAATCCCACATGCCGCGGAGCAACTAAGCCCGTGCACCACAACTACTGAGCCCACGTGCCACAACTACTGAAGCCCACGCGCCTAGAGCCCGTGCTCCGCAGCAAGAGAAGCCACCGCAATGAGAAGGCCGCGCACCGCCACAAAGAGTAGCCCCCGCTCGCTGCAACTAGAGAAAGCCCGCGCGCAGCAACGAAGACCCAACGCGGCCAAAAATAAATAAATAAATAAATAAATAACATAAAATGACTCTTCTCAGAACTGTTTGTCAGAAAATGTAAATCTTTCTTAGCTCTTGGGAAATAAAAAGTCTTAGTTCATTTTGCTTTGCTCTATTTTAGGACTGTACGGAAGGAATATATCACTGCAAAGTATGTAGATCATAGATTTTCACGGAAGACCTGTTCATCTTCGTCAGCTAAACTGAACGAATTGCTTGAGGCCATCAAATCCAGGGATTTACTTGCACTAATTCAAGTCTATGCAGAGGGGGTAGAGCTAATGGAACCGCTGCTGGAACCCGGGCAGGTACAGCTTCCCTGAAATCAGGATGAAGAAGGACACAGGAAATCAGTTAAAAGATGACTCGCTTCATCGTAACACCACAGAATGAGACTGTTACACATTAAGTGATCGTGTCTGAATCCGGACAATTTGAGAGTGAAAGGGGCTGCTGTTAATAATTACTTTGGGGCAGCTGACTTAAACGAAACCTGTCCAGGCAAACTAGGACTTCTGACCACCCTATTTATACTTATCCTTTCCTTTTAGGAGCTCGGGGAGACAGCCCTTCATCTTGCAGTCCGAACTGCAGACCAGACATCTCTCCACTTGGTTGACTTCCTTGTACAAAACTGGTACGCTTTTTGTTTTCTCTGGATATGCCTTGTGAGTTAACACAAACCAGCCCTGTTGGTGGCCTACCTCAGGACTCAGCAAGCTTTTCCTGTAAAGAGCCAGATACTGTTATAGGCTTTGCAGGCCATGAGGTGTCTGTCACAGCCATTCAGCATTGTCATCATAGTGTGAAAACTGCCACAGTCAGTATGTAAACAAGTGAGCATGGCCATGTTCCAGTAAAACTGTATTTACAAAAGCAAGCAGAGGGCCAGATATGGCCTGTGGGCTGTAGTTTGCCAACCCTTGGCCTAGATCAATGTGAAATCCTATCTCTGTGTCCAAAACCTGCTGCATTAAGGGAGGTTGAAAGAGAGGACACTTAACAGCTCAAGGTAACAGATCTGTGAGTTTTCATTGTTTATGAGTTCATGGTAAGAGATCAGTGTGTGTGGCTGACCCAATTGCTAATTCAAGTTTAGGATATACTAATAGGAGAATAATATTGAACACAGGAGGTTTAGACTTGCTGGATTCTTTGTTGGGTAGTTCTGTAAGCTACAGATTAGGAGGAGAAACTAGAGCTCATCCGAAGGAGAGCGATTAAAATAGTGAGGGGATTTGAACTCACGTACGATACGGTGCCTGGACACAAGCCAGATTGTACAAACGCCCAGCCTCTTCCATAGAGGTGGTTCCGCGTAGTGGTTAAGACCATTGGCTCCAGAGACACACTGCTTGTGTTCAGATCCCTCCTCCATCATCTGTGTCTCGATAATCTCGCAAACAAGTACTTCATCCTCTCTGTTTTCATCTAAAAAATAAGGGTTATAGTATACCTACCCCATCAGGTGGTTGTGAAGACTAAATGAGCTAATACACGTAGGAGACGTGTGTCTGTCCCGTACACAGTAGGCATTCAATAAATGCTGGCTGTTACTGTCATTATGTTGCTTATAAATGGAAGTGTCATGTTAGAAACATCATCATCTTTCCTGCTTATAAGAAGTAGGTCGCAAATTTGACTCAGTTGTTGGCATGGGGAAAAGTGGTTAATCTGTAGTTTTAAGTTACAGAGCAAGTCATTTTTTTCTAATGCTTTCATTTTTCAGTGGGAACCTGGATAAGCAGACGGCCCTGGGGAACACGGCTCTGCACTACTGTAGCATGTATGGTAAACCTGAGTGTTTGAAGCTGCTTCTCAGGAGCAAGCCCACCGTGGATGTCGGTAAGTGTGGCCAAGCGTCTCTTAATAACTGCGGTGAGAGCGTTCAGTTGGCTGAAACCTAGACATGCCTATTCCATTGTCATCTGAGTATTGTTCTTTGCCTTTTCAAGATGTATCTTAGATAATCATGCAACTGTATTCCACCTGTTTTAGCTAACCAGGCTGGAGAGACTGCCCTGGACATAGCAAAGAGACTGAAGGCCACCCAGTGTGAAGATCTGGTAAGCGGAGTGGGACAGGGGTGAGCCCAACTATCCTAAAAGGGTGTTCTCTGAAACCACGACTGGAGTGAGAGAAGCAGATTCTTTCTCTCTCTCTCTCTTTTTTTTTTTTTGAACATTGGCTAAAGAAATCTAGATAAGCACTCAGGCTACATTTGAAAAAATGGTAAAATGATAAATTTGTCATCCATGTCTTTGGAGTACAGTTACGGTGTAGCAGCTAAAAGGCATTTGAGAGGTCTTATTACCAGACAAACTGCCTTTTTTTTTTTGGCCATGACACACACAGGCGGGGGCAGGATCTTACTTCCCTGACCAGGGATCGAACCTGAGCCCCCGGTAGTGGAAGCACAGAGTCTTAGCCACTCGACCACCAGGGAAGTCCCAAGGTGCTGCTTTTTTTGTTTGCTAGACATTAGTCTTTCTCTGTAGCTTAACAGTAAAGAATTATTTGGGGAATTCCCTGGCAGTCCAGTGGGTAAAACTCTGCCATTCCTGGGTTCAATCCCTGGAACTAAGGTCAGGGAACTAAGATCCTGCAAACCGTGTGGTGCAGCCAAAAAACAAAAATAATTTTTTTTTGGAAAGAATTACTTGGGAAGCCAGTTCCAAAAATTGGGCAAGTAAAGTTCAGAGTGTAATGGTTTTCAGAATGTCCAGTGCCCTCCCTCCCCTCCCCCCGCATCCTGTGTACACACTCACCTCCAGTCCCACTAGTTCTTGCTTATACCTCTGGGCCTTTGCGTAGAGCATGATTCTCTTAACCACAGGGAAGGATAAGATAGGAAAGATAAGTTACATTCCCTTGAGTTCCTGCTAAGTGCCAAGTACCCACCCAGGCCCAGCAGTTGTACGTCTTTATTTTTACAAGAATGCTCTGGGGACATTGGAGTTACCCTTGCCCCATTTTATGACTAAGAAAGTGGGCCATGGGTGGAACCAGGACTGTCTGACTTTAAAGGCCTACCGGCCTACCTGTCGCACTTCAGTGACTCTGATTTTGCCTTCCAGCGGGATTTTGCAGTTTTGAGGCTCATTTTAATAATATTGAGAAAGCTTTTAATTTTGGAGAGAAGTCACGTTACCAGAATTAAAAAGGCTCCACCCATAATTCTTTGCAATTCCTCTTCAGTCTGTCCTGTGGCAGTCCCGTTTGTATAATCAGAGTTTTGCCTGCAGTGCAGCTACTGGTGATGAATCCGAAACCAGGAATGAGGTGGGATTTGCTCAGTGTTTATATAATGTCCGGGTGCTTGGCATTGAAATTACAGCGGTTACACCTGCTGTTACTTTCAGCTTTCCCAGGCTAAATCTGGAAAGTTCAATCCACATGTCCACGTAGAATATGAGTGGAATCTTCGACAGGAGGAGATGGATGAAAGCGATGATGATCTGGATGACAAAGTGAGTGTATGTAGTGCCTCTGGATTCCTAAGCCCTTCTCCCAGGTTTTCTCCACTATACAGATAAGACCCATTCTTTGTGAGATTGATTTTGGTCTTATGACCTGATTCACCAGGGCCATTTTCTTTGTTTAGTCTCTGATCCTTGTTGAGTGCCACTTAATAGCTGTATTAGTCAGGGTTCTCCAGAGAAACAACCAGTAGGGGTGGGTGGGTGGGTGGTGTGTGTGGGGTTGCATGTGGTGTGTGTGTGTGGTGTAGAGATGGAGAGAAACTCATTTTAAGGAGTTGGCTCACATGCCTGGGGCAGGCCCGGCCAGAACCCCCAGGGCAGGCCAGTAGGCTAGGGACTCCACAGGGTCTGAGGGTGCAGTCCTGAGTTTGCAGGCAGAAAGCCTTCTTCCTTCGGGGGTCCTTGGTCTTTCCTCTTAAGCCCTTTGACTGCCTGAATGAGGCCCACCCCTGTTACTCGAAATCTAACCTAAATGTGAACCACGTGTAAAAAATACCTTCACAGCAACATCTAGACTGGTGTTTGACCAAACACCTGTGCACCATAGCCTTAGCCAAGTCAACACATAAAATCAGTCATCAAAACAGCTAATTAATAAATAACAAGTGGTCACTGATTGAGTATTTAAATATGAACTAGGTGGCAGCAAGCACGTGTCACCTCAGGTCATCTCTATCAAAAGCCCATTGGGGTGTTGTCATTGTCCCACTTTACAGAGGAGAAGACTGACAGGGAAGTCACGTGGTTTATCTGAAGTCTCAGCGAGTAAAGACCGTCTCAGGGATTAAACCCCGTTCTGTGTGACTTTATCATAGATAGTTCTGAATTACCTCTGAAGGTTCATTTGTATCCTTTTTTTAGATTCCACATATAAGTGATATCATATATTTGTCTTTCTGTGTCTGACTCGCTTAGTATGATAATCTCTAGGTCCATCCATGTTGCTGCAAATGGCATTATTTTATTCTGTTTTATGGCTGAGAAATATTCCATCGTATATATGTCCCACATCTTATTTATCCATTCCTCTGTCAGTGAACGTTTAGGTTGCTTCCATGACCTGGCTGTTGTAAACACTGCTGCAGTAGACATTGAGGTGTGCATGTATCGTTTTGAATTACGGTTTTCTCTGGGTATATGCCCGGTAGTGGGATTGCTGGGTCATATGGTAGTTCTATTTTAAGTTTTTTAAGGAACCTCTGTACTGTTCTCCATAGTGGCCGTACCAATTTACATTAGTGTAGGAGGGCTCCCTTTTCTCCACACCCTCTCCAGCATTTAGTGTTTGGATTTTTTGATGATGCCCATTCTGACTGGTGTGAGGTGATACCTCATTGTAGTTTTGATTTGCATTTCTCTAATAATTACTGATGTGTTGAGCATCTTTTCGTGTGCTTTTTTGCCATCTGTATGTCTTCTTTAGAGAAATGTCTATTTAGATATCTAGATCTAAATCTCCTGCCCATTTTTTAACTGGGTTGTTTCATTTTTTGATATTGAGCTGCCTGAGCGGTTTGTGTATTTTGGAGATTAATCCCTTGTCGGTTGCTACCTCTGAAGGTTCCTGCATGCATTTTTCATCAGCTGCGGATCCACTGGTTCCTCTTTCCCAGGCAGGATGTAAGGAGTAGTCAAAGGTGCTCCTACCAAGGGGTCCTAATGGCTTTCACCATTTTAAGAGAAGCTCAATTACGATACAGTCAAGATAACCATTATAGTAAGAGCTGGCGAAATTCCTGAGAAGTGTTCAGAGGACAGGGCGGCTGCCTCAGCCTTGGCGAGCAGTGCAGACCTTATCAAGGAAACACCGTGGGAGATGGGTTTCTAAGGGTGGTGAGGAGCTTGCCAGGCAGGGAAGTAGGAAGGAGTGCATCCTTCTAGGGAGGGAGGACAGCATGTGCAGAGGCCGGGGGTCATCATGGGGCCTGAACATCAGAGGACCGGTTGGGATGAGGTGTGAGGTGCCTTCACATGCACTGGGTGGGGAGAGGCAAGAGGCTCCCCTGAAGTGTCAGGCAGCCCAGACCAGGAAGGGCGTGAAGAGGGTGGTAGGCCAAGTTCAGGCCTTTGGCTTTCATCTAAGCAGGCACAGGCCAACAGAGCTTTGCTGTCAGAGAGCAGGGTTTCCTACCAGCTCTGCCTGCAGCGTGGAAAATGGGCTGGAGCTGAAAGAAACTGAGGCAGGGGCTGTTCAGGAGACCAGTGGTCCAGGGGGTGCTGGTGAGTGCCTGCACGAGTTGTGGGTCCGAGGGGCACTTCTGAGCTCTCCGTGCAGGACTGGGTGGCTCTCCATGCCACTGAGGTTGGGAGACTTCCCACTTGGGAAGTTGCATGGGTGCTGATGCTGTGGGCCGAGTGCAATGGCCTCATAGATTATAAAATAGTGGCCGAGTGCAGTGGCTGTGGGCCGAGTGCTGTGGGCACATTGCCGAGTGCAGTGGCCTCATAGATTATAAAATAGTGGAGAAAGTTAAAATGAGGCTCGGGCATAAACAGAACTCATCAGAGATCCGTCATGGGTGGTTGAAAGTGTTTGGAATCCAAGAGGTTGAGGTTGGACGTACAGGCCCGAGTCATCAACATTAGGTGGCAGTCACGGCCATGGGTGCAGATGAGGTTCCTTCCTAAGAGGGTGTAAAATGAGGAGAGAGGTGAGGGTGGAGAGCTTCGACGTTAAAGGGCTGAGCAGGGATGGAAAAGTTAATGTAGTAGCCACTGTTCAGTTGTTGGTGAACGTGCCCCGCACAGGGGAGGTATTTGTGGATTAAAGGTTAAATCTGTGTGACCTTCTACTTCTGAATACAATGCTCCCTAACCAGCACGTCCCTGGTGGGACCCTGGTAATGACAGGAGAATGAGATGTATACTCTCTGGATGTTTCCCTTGTGCTGTGTCGCGGCTCCTAGGCTTTTGTGTGGCTGACCCCCCAGAAATGCAGAGAGCCACAGGAGCCCAGATCCCCCCACTGAGCCTGCCCTGCAGAGTCCTCTTGACACCTGAAGCGTCATCCTTGACTATCAGCTGACCCACCGCACTGTTATTTCATTTGCCAGCCGAGCCCCATCAAGAAAGAGCGCTCACCCAGACCTCAGAGCTTCTGCCACTCCTCCAGCATCTCCCCCCAGGACAAGCTGTCACTGCCGGGCTTCAGCACTCCGCGGGACAAACAGCGGCTCTCCTACGGCGCCTTCACCAACCAGATCTTTGTCTCCACAAGCACAGACTCACCCACAGCGCCGACCGCGGAGGCACCCCCGTTGCCTCCTAGAAACGCCGGGAAAGGTACAAGCTGTGGGAAGGGCTTTGTGACTCCATCTTCAGAGCTGGGAGTTGACCCAGCTTTGACGTAAGAATTTCGAGGTGCCTTTGAGTGGCAGAGTGTAGGCTGTGATGTCAGGGCAGCTTGAAACAGGGACCTCACCGACTGCCACGTTACAGCCGAGAACTAGTGTTACGGGCACTCCACGTGCCTTGTCTTGTGTGAACCTTACAACCATCCTGTGAGGTGTGTGCTTTTGTGCCCATTGTACAGATGAGGAAATTGAGGTAGAATGACTTGCCCAAAGTCGGTAAGTGGTGGAGTTGAGGTTCCATCCAGGGTCCACATGGCTCCCAAACCAGCGCTCTTTCCTGTGTAATATGGGGTGGAATTTGAGTTCTTCTTTGAGAAGTTTCTTTCCTCTGCACTAAAATGTAGTAACAGTGATAGTCAATAGTTACAAAGCCCTTGCTTTATGAGAGGCCCTGAGCCCAGCACCTCTCTTTTCACGCTCACAGAACAAGGTAAGTAGGATAGTTGCTGGCACCAGGCAGACAGGGTACTGGTTCAGAGCTCTAGAGTAATTGGCCTGAGGCTCTTGGGGGTTTGGGATCCTTACCCAGGTTCTGTGTGACCTGAACCCACACTCCTGTGCTCTCTGGCGAGTGGTTTTCCACGAGACACCACCTGGGGCAGGATCTTACCAGAGGAGGGTCATTGTGCCGTGTGTTGTCACATGCCCCCACGGGGCTCATGCCAGGTGGTGACGGTCCGCGAAGACTGCATACTGTTCCCCGAATCCACCGCACGCCCTGCACAGAAAGTCCATGTATTCCCACCTACATGGGGACGAGTCGAGACACAGAAGTGATAACATTAAGGGCTCACCCCTCCCGGGGGTATTCGAGAGGGACCCGGAGCTGTAGCTTCCGGCCTGGTCTCAGCCATAAACCCAAGTGCAGGATCCTCCCCGTGTCCTCCGCTCCGCTCGTGCTCACACAGGTTTGAGGGCCCCGGTGCACAATGCGTGCCTATTTGAATCACACTGGGGCTATTTTCTGGGGAATGTGAGCTTTATTCAAAGCAGTGTTTTTTCAGAGCTCATTCTCCATTGAAATAGTGTTATAAATGGTAGCAGTGTTCTTAGACCCCAATGGCCTCATAGATTATAAAATAGTGGAGAAAGTTAAAATGAGGCTTGGGCATAAACAGTACTCATCAGAGATAACCAGTGACCAGAAGAGCAACAGCGCACGTAAACCAAAGGTTTAACCCGTCGGTGTTGTCCTTACCATTCCACACATCATGCTAGAACATGCCTTTTAAATCACTAGCATAACAAGGTGCAGATGTGCGCTGTAAGAGGACTGTGTTACCTCTCACCGCGGGGCGATGATGTTCCCCAGCAGTGTGGCGGTCTGCTAAAAGCAGAGTCCCTTTCTGCGCCCTAAGGAAGACCGTGGAGAGTTACTCTGCAGGCGTTCACATCCCCTGATCGTGGTTACCAAAAAAAGTGGTGATGACCTATCAGAGAGCCTCCAGGTCACTGAGAACCTTGGAAAAGGGCTACAGGAGAGAATGACACCAGAGTCCTAGGGGCCAGGAGGCACCCTCACCTCCCTCTAGCCCTTCCCATAATTTTGTCTCAAGGGGATGCAGAAACCCATAAAATATACTGACTCAGTGCCAAGTATATCTCTGCTGCCTTGAATAAATTCTGATTAGCTCTTTCCCAAAGACCCAAAGACAAAGACCAGATTTATTTAGTGATGCAGCTGCTGAAACAAGTGCCTAGAGACTTGGCCGTAGCAACCGTGGTCGGCTAAGGATAGACTGCTTACCGCCCCCCACCCCCAATCCCATAGTTGAACATAGAATCCCTCTCCGCTACAGTCAGAGTGTTCTTCCAGGTTGCTCATAGCAGGACATCAGATTCGGAGATTTGGTCTGAGCTGGTGAGACAAGAAGCACAGCCTGCCCGTGACTTTTATAAGGGGTTCGAGGCGGGAGATACTTGCTGCAGGCAGCTTGGCTCACGTGCCCACACATTTGGAAAAGTGATAATGTTTGAATGGAGTTCTCAGAAGACACAGTTGAAGACCAGCCGATGCTCTGCGCAGAGATAACTCTCCTCTGTTTTCCTCACGTTTTCTTCATTTCATTCTGTTGAACCAATTGAACCGTTTGCGTGGAACAAGGATGTCTTGTTTGGGTTGCTAGTTTCCCGTGGAGGTAAAGCAGAGGTGTCTGCTTGCAGCAGAAGTCATTTCCACACTGAGAACTTCAGGGTCGTAAGGATGATGGTTTCCGGTGCGGCAGAAACAACTGATAAAGTTTCCACTAACGAGAGGAATACAGAGGACAAAAGTAGAAGGAATTCTTCCGAATCCAGCTCAGGAGTATTTTCAAAAACTTGCAGCTGCCTCATGAAAATGTAAGGAGTTTGACCTAAATTGCCATCGGGCAAAGCCCCCTGTGCTTGAGCAGAGCTCCAGTCAGAGCTGGACGGACTCAGCAATTCAGAATCCCGAGCTCACCACCCTTAAGCCTTTGAAACATTTTGCTGCCTACGCCCTCTTCAGATGTGAAGTCCAGCGAGATTAAATCAAAGCTATAAAATTAAGTATGCAGCTCCGCCCAGCCCCCCACTTCACTGTATCTTTATTAAGACTAGATATTCTTCAGGATTGCCAAGATTGGTTTGTTCGTCATCTTTAAGCTAAAATCATGTCACAGAACCTGGATTTTATTTTTAGAGCTAAAGGGATGCTGAAAGATTGACGTGCTTTGCCACCCTTTGTACAGCTAAGGAAACAGAGCCCTGAAAAGGCTGAGGAACTTCCATGTCACGCGGTGGCTGAAATAGGATAGAAAATTACAGTGGGCCTTAGGACTTGGCAACCAGATCTTCTATGGTAGTTTATTCTTTTCCACGTTGAGGAAGAGGGTCCATCTCTGTCTTCTCTTCCTCGTGCATTTGTCATCAGAATCCAGTGAGACAGTATATGAGAAAGCATTTGGTAAAATGCAGAGGTCTGAATTACCACGAGGGACTCCTATCAGGACTGTTCAGGCTCTGACTCCACAGATGTCCCCAGAGTAGGGAAGAAAGTATGGGCACCATGGTACTGTGATGCCGCCCACAGAACAGGCACTTGACAACAGTGTAGCTTGCTTTTTAAGTCAAGCTACAGAACTGCGGTTTTCTCCCATTGTGAAATTCTACACCTTTTACACAGCCGTGGCACAGACTGTACTTGACACGAGATTTTTGTGGAGGTTAGTGAGAGGGACGGGAAGCTTCCAGCTCAGCACCTGGCACCTAGTCTGTGCCCCAGGGAGGGTTCTGCTGCTGACGTTTGAGAGCCACTGCAACTCCTCAGCTTTAAAAATGCATCCTTGGGGAATAGGAACCGGGGTGGAGCTGCCCAAGTCTGGTAAATAAGCAGGCGCTCTGAATGACGAAGCCTGGCATTATGTGGCCACCTTTAACTCAAAGGATTTGTCAAGTAAATGAACAATAAGTCTGATCTCAAGAAGCTTATTTAACTTACTTAAATGAACTAAGTTTTCAAGCTTTTAGAAGCACGAAGTGATATGCTAACTAATTTCAGTTCACTCCCATCTGTTTATGAGATCAGTCCCCTGGACTCAGGCATCGTGTAGCACCTCTGCATATCCTGTGAATACCTGTAGGAATCCTGCAGTCCACACACGTTGTCTATAACATGGACTTCCTGTTTCACACAGGCTCCAGCCTTGGTCTGATAAGCCAGTAGGTGATCTGCACAAAAGCAGCTCAGGGCCTGGCACACCGAGGGCTCAGTGAGTGCTTGTCACGGAGAATGTTGAACCCGGTGCTGCCCTCGCCATCCCTGTAGGTGAAGAGCTAAGCACCCACGTTAATCCAAGAGTATAGTTTGAGAGTAACACACCCTCCAAGGCAGGTCCATCTGTAAACCAGACTGTGCCTGCTGGGCAGCTGTGAGCCGCTGTGAATTCAAACCCCACTCTATCCTCTTCTCTCCTTGCCCCACCTAGGAGGCTGGGGTTCCTCCCCACCAAGTGCTAACCCTGTCCCTGTCCTGGTCTCCTTTTCACATTTAACTCATCTTGCTAAGTTTCAGGGCCTTCATCTGAAAAATAAGAATCAGGTGTCTGGCTGGCTGGGTCCCTGCTTGGAACATGAAGTAACGTATGTAAAGTGACTGGCACAGCGTGAGCACTCAGTACGTAGTATGGGAGCCTGTTGGGTCCTGCTGCATGTGTTCGGTTCTGCACATGTCCTGGGCCCTGGCAAGGTAGCAGAGAGGGGAGCGGGGAGCTCCTGCTTGGAAGCTCGCGCTCCAGTGGGTGAGAAAGCAGTGAGCTGTGCCCTCATCAGGGGCAGCAGTCGGTGGCGCTCCAGGTTTGAAGAGAGGGTGAAGGGAGTCTTCCTTTCACTCCCCCCTCCCCCTGGAGGCAGAACTCCTCCACACGGAGGCTGGGAATGAGCTGTCCCTGCATCCCTGGCACAGAGGGGGCATGCTCCATCAGTGCTTGCTGAGTGAACAAACAACAGCAGAATCAGTGAAAGCGTGTCCCAGAAATGTGTGGCTAGAGCAAGGAGGGGACACTCATAGAACTAACCCAGATGTCCTGGGGCTGTGATAACTGACTTGCTGACAATCCTTCTGCACCATGTTTATGCCCAGACTCAGTTGTGTAAGCATTTTATACACCATTTCTCTGACTCATTTGAGGTCTGTAGCAACAGTTAGGGCAGAGAGGGGGTGGCCAGGGAGAAGACTGCCCCGGGGTCTGAAGGTAAGAAAGTGCCCTGCTCCAGGAATTGGTCTTGCCTAGGAGATGTTTCCCTGTGAGTGGCTTTATTCATATGCTGGTGACTGTAGAGTTTCCTGGGATTTTTTTATCTCACAGGAAGGTAGCCATTCGAGTGGCTCGATTTTAAAGCTTCCCATGGACCATTGTCCTCCATTTCTGTTGAATTTTCTGGATTTTTCTGTCTTTTTTTGTGTGTGTG